TGCACAACAGTCAGGACAATCATGAATCGGGTCCATTCTATCGAATGTGCACCCGGATGCTTGTCGCGATAAGGCATTCAAACGTTTTCTGATATCTATAAGCAAAGAAAAGAAGGAATGAGCAACGATGAATCAGTTGGTCTTGTGCATGCATTCTTGGTGACTGATATTGTGGACGCAACCCAAACGGAATGAAATCGCCCACAGACCCTTTTAAAGATGAAGGACAACAGGAGTGTGGGCACCCCTGTGGTGGCTTTCCTTTAGGTTACTGGGAATGGTAATAAGGAAACCGAGCATATGCTGTCCACATAACTGGATTTAGTTCCACCTGATACCTCATGGTTCGAATACCCTATTGGGTTGTCAAAATATTCCATGGCGCCCATTAGACAAGCTCAGTATTGACTAGTGAGTAAAATTAAGGGTGCCAAATTTTTTCGGCGAAGGCCTCTAGGTTTGAATATCTGCATCTTCAAACTAAAAAACCGTAGCGAGAGCACGGTAATAAATAACTATGAATAAGTAGACAAAAATTCAATACCCTTGTGTAATCTATTATTTTATACAGTGCGGCCTTGTATTCTTGTCTCGTTTTTGTTAACTGAGAATTCACGAAGCTTGTTAACTGTTCCAATAGCTCGGTCCTCAGCCACGCCGCTACTACATACAGTTCTGTCTCACAGTAATTTTCCCTAGCTGTACCTTTAAACAGGGAAAAATGAAGAACAAAGTGTTCGGCTGTGTCTTGAGGTCTGAGCCGAGCCTTTGTAGACTAACTAACAGCAAAGTTTCCACGCTATGCGTTCCAGACAATGAAACCACTGTTGGGGTGATGCAAATGGATTTCACTCAAGCTTTGCTCGCCCAACCATCAAGGTAAAGTTCACGTATAGCAAAAATCAACTGTGATTACTGACAGCGCTTATTCAGATATGACGGTAAAGGCGGTTTACTTATTTCGGTAACTGGCCATTCTTGTGGTATCATTCGCTGGAAGCAGTTGACAAGAAGCTCTGATAAAGGCCTTTTTGAAAAATGCACCGCATTATCAGAGGTTGGCAGGCAGACCAGTGAAGCCCATTCATTCAGACAGAACGAGAATCGTCTAAACACAATATTCTCTATTGGGGCTGGTAGTAAAACCATCCAAATATGACTGACAGAATGTACTAGACAGTTGGCCCTAAGTATTACGTTTGCATGTTAACTCGTCCAATGATGAAGACACGCAGGAATCCAGTGACCAGTATTTTAGTAAGCAGAAAGGATCTCCCGAAAGAAGAACGTTTTCGGAAAAAACCCAAGTTATACGCTATTGAGGTGATCTGAATGTATGTCTTCTACAACCTAGTTGCGTCAGACACGTTTTTATTTACAGGCTATGAGACTGTTGTTAACACAAGTTCTGGTCGACCATTTCGACCCAGCTAACTAAGCCGTATCTCGTCCTGCTGCCTAGAACAGTTAACATTAAATTTCCCGTGCCATTTCGAGGCCCAGCCGTTGCATTGTGCACCAAACTTCAACCGGCTGCATTTACGACCATCCTTGGAATTCTTTGAAGTACTTTCAAAGCAATCCCCTCGGCGACAAGCTCACTAGGCAGATGACAAATCGATATGTACGCATGGTTCTTTGAATGACTGCTGAAGGACTAAATAGACCGGAATCACGAATCTTCATGAAGTTAACGCTCAGGTCCCTTTGACTGAGCTTAAAGGTAGCGACAATAAAGAATCATATAAGGCCTCTTTTACACAGGTTCTTTGAATGACTGCTGAAGGACTAAACAGACCGGAATCATGAATCTTCATGGAGTTAACGCTCAGGTCCCATTGACTGAGCTTAAAGGTAGCGACAATATAGAATCATTACACGGGCCGTCAACGACATGGCTTTTTGGCGCTTACTATTTAGTGATAAATCTTAAAGTGATCGATGCTTTAAGGACCCTTCACCACCTGAGGCTGACGATGTGGGCTCGGATAAATAGCCCACCCTGATAACTGGTTCATGTGCTTCAAAGGAAGTATTACATATGTAAACGCATCCTATCTACAGTTCCCATAAGACCAAATACTTCCTCACCAAGAACCTATTCTGTTCGACGGACGAAGATTCACGTGGTTCCAACGAAACGGAGCCCCTCACGGGATGTAACTGTTTTAGCAATTTCGTTGAAAGCCAACTCTATGCACGGTAGATTGGCCAAGACAGACACCTACAATGATCACCACGTTTTTCTGCGTTCAATTTCTTCAGTCGGGACGAGTGAAACTTGGAACCAACCATTCCGCAAAGTCTATAGAACTCAAAATCAAGATGGACAGGGTCTTGCCTTGTGCCCTAAGACATCTTAAAATGTTTGCTCATAAGAAATGTTGTTGTGCAGGCAGCTGGAATGGGATGTCTTGAATAATCCCAACACATAGACACGCGTCTTTCCAAAGATTTTGGAAACGGAAGTCAGAAGCCGACGAGAATTTGTCTTTCAAGACATGGCGACCGTCACCATGCTTACAGGAGCAGATCACACAGGGCTGATGTTTCGCGCCTCACCCTTAGTAACTCTCCTGTTATTGGAATCTCATTGAAAGATAAATCGCGTAAGCCTAAAAGCACATTCTTTGGATTTATTTGTATGCTGGTGTTAACCATAATCAAGCAAGCAACCAGGCAGTTAGATAGCGATTCGTTGGTACACATATTCTGGTTCATACATGCACTTTCTTGGCTGGCTTGGGCGGGAGTGCAGCAAGCGCCTCCATGCATATCTCCGGTTCCCCTCATGCCGACCGTTCTCGTGTGTGGATTAGTGAAACGCTATTCCTCTTTCGATCGATAGCTGTTCATTTTCGTTTGTAATTCCTCAAAGGCAGATAAATCTGCTTGGCTGTTTCCTGTTAATGTGCGTCTCCGGCGTTCGTCATTCTTGGTTTTCCGTTCAACTACTGTCTCCGGTTCTGCAGAACCAACATTGTGAAGCTCCTTGTCCTGCCCTTACTCCCCACGGCGAAGCAGTTGTCAGACAAGACAGGTCAGAGTAGTGTTTGGAAACGGCCTCTTCTTGGTGCATTTCTCTGGTATGCTCATCCCACGATGTTATTCAAAGTACCATGAACCAAACGGCCTATTAGAATCCGGCTAGATGACCCAAACAGCAATGTTCAAAACATCGACTTGCATCTTTTCGACGTACGTTGGTTCACCGTCAACTAACCTGTTTTGGCATTGAATTGCTGGATTTGACTCAGTTACCACGCAACTAATGTGTCCTTTCCCGCTTTCTTTTTCATCACTGAATCTGATCTACACACTCACGATCACAACCATCTCTATTACCAACCGTTCCACGTCGACTTTGGTTCACTCCTTTTCATTCGAAAGCAGCGCTGACCTCAAGAACATTCGGCAGTTTATTGTGTCGCTTTTCAGTTAATTATTTCATATGATCTTCAATGTTCATTATGTCCAAGCCGTCCTGTAAGTGTCTCATGCCCCTAGTAAGGATGATGCGCAAATTTTCAAGTCCTGATTATCAGTCAGACAAAATTCTCCAACTTTGTCCGTGAAAAACGTCTTATGCAGCCAATGCACCATACTCGGCAGACGAATGTGAAAAAGTGTATCCAGTGGATATCAAATAGTTTTTCCGCACCAAATTACTTTTTCATCAGAGACTAAATAAGGGCTCCGTGAAACTCTTTAGTGTTCTGCGAAATATGTTTGACAGAATTTCCCTCTCTAGTGAAAAATGACCCGGACTGGCTTTTGGGAACCAAACAGATTGGCTAAATCCGCTTCGCGGACCCAATTGTAGTGGAGAAGAGCTGATGAAACAGGAAAGCGAAGATCCATCTTCTGTTGCAATCTATAACGGTGCCAACGTATATCAACCTGTAGTCGCACTCTTCAACTTCAAAGGGGTGCCAGATATGTCCTGAGATTGATTCCTGTTTGTCTGTAACTTCCAAACTTCCAGTAGTGAGCTGACGGATGGTTTTACCGGACACGGCATCTTTTATGTTCTACAGTGAAAACGTCTATGAAGATTCTCCAACTTGAAGCATCTTGATCTCACTTGCCTCAGACAGATTATTCATAGACCAACTCATCATGATCTTCAAATGCACCTGCTCACTCATGTCAAAAATCGTTCAAAACAAGGGTCTTCTCCCAGTTGTTTGAGTTATGCCTCATGTATTATTTCTGTGGCGTCCTTTTTATTTGATTAGTTAACTTAAATCTGCTACGTACTCAGCACCAGAAAGTACCTGGTGTTCTAGCTTTGTTTTCAAATTTCATGCGCGCGGCGTGTGCAAACGTGGCTAGCGATGACACACGGACTGACTTGGAAGCGTTTTGTAGCGCGCAGTCAAATCTTCTCAATGCATGCTAGCCTTTAAAGAAAAAGACAACAGCAGCCATTGACTGGGTGATCCAAGTAGGTTCCACGTTTGAACGCTGAACGGGTACACAAATCATCATCTACACACTCACTATCACAGCCATCTCTATCACCAACCATTCCATGTCGACTTTGATTCACTCCTTTTCGGAACATAGCAGCTCATTCCGTAGAAACAGTCAGCTGATCGGTGAAACCTGAAGGGAATGCACGATGTGGGAACCGACTTACCCACAGCGGTAACAGGATGATGCCTGAGAATTTGACCATTGGGGGTTAATCATCCCAGAGAACACAGGTAACTGCTAAACTTTACAGCTGAATTGCGTAACTCAAGCTCATTGACTTGCCTTGCAATGGACTATCTACTCGAGCGACTGCTGCCAAACCTAGTTTATCTAGAAACCTGGCCTTTCCTTCTAGGTGTACCTAAATCTCAGATTTGAACAACTTTATTCTATATTTCATACAGCTAGCATCCTTCTTCTCATTCAGTCCAAGGTCCCACTTCAACACTATATCAACTTAGATCAAAGCTAACTAAGCTTTCGAAAGATACTGACCATGACCCGTTAGATGATGTGCTTACCAGTGCGGGTGACATTCTTCGGATCTGTCTTCACGGAACCCCTATTCCGTGATGCATTTGAGTCAAACAGTTCATACTACTATCAAGCAAGTATCTTGTCATAGGAGTGAGAGACTACGGAGTGGGATAGTCTGTTCGGAGCCGAGACAGGAGCACCCTGGCTCTTGCCAGATATTCTATCCGCCTTTGTGTGCTTTTTTACGTTAAATCTGTTTAGAACTTAAAACAGCAGAAGCGACGCAGGTGGATGTTGGCCATTACCAGTAATTTCGCCTCTTGACCCAGAGATCGATCTTATCCGTGCCGTCCAGTATTGACTTTGAGTGATGACAAAAGCGGTTTAATTGGACTGGCACGGTTTCCTCCACCATTTACCATACTAAATTTATCGTGTACAAAGCTTGAACAATTCTTGTAAATCCGTTTCAAGCTGGCACGACCAACTCGTCCTGTCTGAGCTCTGGCACCCTGACAGTATCTCGTTCTCATGCTTCCCGTGGGTGTCATGGCAGCTAGGTACCGAAAAGATAGTTCAGCTGGACGACTGAGTGATTGACTGATTGATTAGTTGATTGATTGATTGATTGATTGATTGATTGATTGATTGATTGATTGATTGATTGATTGATTGATTGATTGATTGATTGATTGATTGATTGATTGATTGATTGATTGATTGATTGATTGATTGATTGATTGATTGATTGATTGATTGATTGATTGATTGATTGATTGATTGATTGATTGATTGATTGATTGATTGATTGATTGATTGATTGATTGATTGATTGATTGATTGATTGATTGATTGATTGATTGATTGATTGATTGATTGATTGATTGATTGATTGATTGATTGATTGATTGATTGATTGATTGATTGATTGATTGATTGATTGATTGATTGATTGATTGATTGATTGATTGATTGATTGATTGATTGATTGATTGATTGATTGATTGATTGATTGATTGATTGATTGATTGATTGATTGATTGATTGATTGATTGATTGATTGATTGATTGATTGATTGATTGATTGATTGATTGATTGATTGATTGATTGATTGATTGATTGATTGATTGATTGATTGATTGATTGATTGATGACTAACGATTCTGTTCTCATATTTTAGTAATGGCAAATGCTAAATAGTGGTGATAAGCTACAGCTATATTGTGACAGGCCAGAGGCCAGCCCGGTCATTATCCAACCCCATGTCATACACTTTAAAGAACATGACGACTGAATTATCTTCCTTTTGGTTGAAATGCGATGAATTTACGCTGAGAACCAAAAGTAGAGACAACTACAACACAACCTGAAGTAAGCGTTACATTCGCTGGCACTCAGAAATTTTAGCACGCTCGATGAAAGTTCTTAAACGTTGGTAGTATTCAGGATTTCAAAGGAATACGAACATCCACAGACGTTGGGCTGCGGTAGTCTTCATGAAGTGAGCTGCGTAGAGAAATTCTTAGGCATCCCGAATTGCGCTCCCTAATCACGGCAACTTACGTCTGAATCGGACCCACCCCAGCAGGTTCATTTTGGGATACTTGTCGAAATAACGCATCAGGATACATGTTCTTGTCAGTGAATTGTAAAATGTAGACCGGCATTCAAGCATCTGGTGACATCTGCAATCAAGAGAAGAGAAACGTGATTGGTAATGTGATTTTTGTAGGCCACCGTATTCTAGAAACCGTTTACAATAGCTACAATCAAAGTTATCTTGTCTGACTACTCTGGATGTTATTCCATGTCATCCATAATAAAATGACACATGAGATCCAGTCAACCAGTTTCTTGTATCTCAGATAGGGACAGTCACACTTGTGACTCCGTTCACTACTTTAAATAAAGTATCTGTTCAAAATTCGTAGAGGCTCAGAAATTGTTAACTATCCACGCTGAACCTGAACATCAAAACTAGTTCCGGTATGAAATATTCTACCTTTTAGGAGTGCGCGTAAACGATACAACAGTAACAGTTTTAAAATTTTATAAAAGTAGAACAGATGCCCAAGAATTGTGCAGTTCACTTAGAAGGGCACACAACCATCAGAGCAAGTTGATTCTCCTCGTTTTCGGAACTCTTCTTTCTTGAGGGTGCGGTGCAAGCTTTAAGCCTAGTGCCTCAGCTGAATACCAAGTAACACTGAGAATCCGTTGTTTCTAAATGGGAATTATTAATGAAAAACAAAGCTTTGTAGCCACTGATGAGTAGGAGTAACAGCAGTTCTATTTTTATTCTGGAGCGCCATCTGTTTTATCGAGCATTACATGCATTCGCGAACGGGCTGTTGTCAACAAGACTAGAACGCATGAAGGCTGCAAAGCGGCCAGAGGATATTTCAGTGTCTGATTAGTCAGGCGCATTGTGGTAGACTTTCCTTTACTTCCCACTTTTGAAGCAGGATTCTGTTTGTCTTTATTTATAACGGGAGACACGATTTATCGTCGAATGCAGACTGGCTTAGTCCATGTTAAGGGATATCCTTGATTGTAAGTCATGTGACAAAGCATGTACTTGCGACTGTGCAAAGGCATTAGGCGGCACGCGAATCACCGATTCTAAAGAGAATAAATCCTGTAATATTATGAGTGCTAAACTTTCATACCGTATGGCATAAGTTCAAGAACTTCGTTCAACCTGGACGATAGAGACCCATCTGTTCTTTGCGGCACCTCGTTTGTGAAGTGGTCCATCACTCGGGATTTTAGAAAGTAGCTTTTCTGCATTTATAGTGAGGGAGATGTTTTGAGGAATATTTGCTTCTGTAAGTGAAACCGGTTTATACTGAAAAGGCAAAAAGCACTGTACAGGGGTATCCTCATCAGTATTGCGCATATCGAATCCGCGGCCTATTGGTTATTAGAGGTGGATCCTTTGATTAAACCCTACTGGTTATTAGAGGTGGATCCTTTGAAAAAACGATGCGCGGCGGTATATCCTGTCTAATTGCTAGTCAATAAGCTGATCAGCCTCTGGTGTCCGTACATATGTGTTCAAGCTAACGTAAACGTTGCCGGTTTGAGACTCCGTTTCTTCAGGTGCTCACTGCTCATGATTACCAATTGGAATGAAATGAATGCATAGTGTTTCTCGGATTTTCAGCATAGATTGGTTTTACTTGCATTTCCAAATCTCTTAATACTAGTAACAATGAATAAGCTATTGTCTCTTTACTTCATTTATGTTCATTTTTTTGCACCAACAAACAGGAATACGAAAACTACCAAGTTTGTTGTTGTAGGGATGTGTGGGTAACAAAAACGCTTTTCCATCTCATTTCTTATGGTATCCATGAGGTTAGAATTCCATATTGGTATAGTAGCTGGACTAGAATATGGCAAACCTTACTATGCTTGAGCACTGCGAGAGGTGGTGGTACGTTCTCCAAATGTTGTGACCCGTGTAGGCTGGCGCACAAGTTAGAACCCTTTGGACCCTAAAAGCTACTGAAAAATTGACGAGTTTCCGAAGCATTTGGTCTCTTGTGTCACCCCAGTTAAGCTGTTCTCCTTAAAATTCCTTCTTAACGATTCCATTCCCTGGGGGAGATTTCTTGAGTGTAAGAATGAGCGATATTAAAATAAAATGTACACTGTTTGGAGTGTCCACCATAAGAGATTCTGATATACTATAATAATGAAGAATAGATTACTCCCTCACCAGTCGACCTGTGACCATATGTTGCGAATTTCACGTGCTGATAACGTTGGTTATCAACCACTGGTGGTTGAATTGTACAGTCCTCACCCATCACCCTAGAACTGACTGGTGAAACTCCCACTTCACATTCGTGAAGTGTGCTTCACTGCTGAGTTTTAATCAGCCGGAAGCAGTTGTATAGTGCTCCGTGGGTTTTTCAGCATAGTCTGGATTCAAACACAAATATCGTCTGCACGCAACAGCACATCTTCAGATGTACAGATGTTGAGAATCACAGATGTTGCAACTGATTTAGCTTGCCTAATGAGTGACACAAACCCTCAAAAGTCCAACAATGGGTGACAGCTGTCGCTGCACTAACGCATGGCAAACTGGGATCGTAAAGCTCAAGTTTATATATTCTAACAAGGGTGGACAGATGCTAATGAATAGCCATCAGGCCTGTCTATTTCTGGTTGGATCTCAGGGTCATCATTACTCTCACCATAAGGATTTTTTAATTCTTCATGACGTTGCTAGTGCATAAATCATAATGATCGCAGGAGAGATCTTCTCTTCTCATACTTTGTCTACATCTCTAACCTTTAAGGAAGCCAACATTTCACCTCTCCACTTTTCGAATGGTGTTTGGGCATAGGTGGCGTCAGCTAGGCGGTATTGCTTAAGTTAGTTGACTGTCTGCAACCTCTGTAGCCCTGTTAAGTCGACTCACTAACACGTTCTCACAGAGAGAGCATTATGTGGTAACAGAAAGATCTAACTGACCGGTGAGTTACTCACAACAATTGCCGCCTAGCATCTACTGTGAGGCTGTTGCGTACCTCGTATATCATTAAGTTTATGGAAAATAATGTATCTTTAGTTGTGTGTGTGTTAAAGCGGGGGTGTCTGAATGAGCAGCTGTGGATAAATGAATGTCAGCTACATCGAATCTGCCTCAGTTACCTCTAGTCGTTTTTTTTCAGCGTGAACAATAGCGAAATTTTAGTTTTACTGTTTGCACAATCGTAGAATTATTTGGCTTCATAATGACCTGACAATAAACTCAGACAAGAAGTAAAACTGTCGTGTTGTTTTTTCGAGTACTATAGAGACTGATCAAAATGCAAAAGAAACCTGATCGAGAATCTCGGAAATTGTGGAACTGTACAGGTCGAAACTCGCTGGATTGCAAACTGCTTGATCCGTCAATTCTGTAACAAGCCTGGAATAATCGGAAGCTCACCTTCTGTTACAGTCTATAACCGTGCGAACATTGTCCAATCTCGCTTCACATGTTTCCATGTTGTCGGGGTACCAGACCGAAACTGGCATTTGTTCTCGTCGGAATTTGT